ACCACGATCAAGTCGGCTTTATCACAGAGATGCAGGGATGATTCAATATACGTAAGTCAATAAACGTCATAAATCATATAAATGGGCTCAAAGACAAGAACCACATGGTTATCTCAAGCCTTTGAAAAAATTCAACATGCATTTATGTTCAAGTCCTAGAGAGAATTGGACTGGAGGGAACATACCTCAACATAATTAAAGCCATATATAACAAACCCACAGCCAACATCACTCTAAATGGAGAAAAACTGGAAGCATTCCCAGGAACCAGAAAAGGCTGTCCACTATCTCCACTTCTCTTTAATACAGTGCTGGAAACTCTTGCAAGGACAATAAGACAAGAGCAGGAAATTAAAGGAGTAATAATTGGAAAAGAAGAGATCAAATTATCCCTTTTTGCAGATGATATGATATTATATCTAAGAGATGCCAAAAATTCCACCAGAAAATGCCTAGAAATTATTAAGACATTCAGTAAAGTGACAGGTTACAAAATTTACCTACAAAAGTCTGTAGCCTTTCTATATACCAATAACAAGCAATCAGAGAAAGAGCACATGGAAACACTCCCCTCCACAACAGCTGGAAAAAAAAAAAATCTTGGGATAAACCTGACCAAAGACATTAAAGAGCTCTACAATGAAAATTTTAAATCATTAAAGAAAGAGATTGAGGAAGACACCAGAAGATGGAAGGACCTCCCATGCTCATGGATTGGAAGAATTAATATTGCGAAAATGACCGTCCTACCAAAAGTCATTTGCAGATTCAATGCAATGCCAATCAAAATCCCCATGACATTTTTTCACAGAATTGGAAAAAAACTATCCTAAGATTCATGTGGAAGCACAAAAGACCTTGGACAGCCAAAACAACCCTGAGCACTAAGAGCAATCCCAGGGGTGATTACTATACCAGATTTTAAGCTGTATTACAGAGCTATAGTCATAAAAACAACATGGTACTGGCACAAAAATAGACCCATAGACCAATGGAACAAATTGAAGATCCAAATATGAGTAAATACGATTTCAGCCATCTCATATTCGACAAAGGGGCCAAGAACATTCACTGGAGGAAAGACAGCATGTTCAGCAAATGGTGCTGGCAAAACTGGATTGCCACCCATAGAAGAATGAAACAAAACCCCTATCTTTCACCTTGCACAAAAGTCAAATCCAAATGAATCAAAGACCTCAGTGTCAAACCTGTAACTCTGAAACTGTTATAAGAAAACATGGGCAAAAACCTACAAGATATAGGTGTAGGAAAGGATTTTCTAAACAGGACATCATTTGCTCAGGAAACAAGGACAAGAATTAACAAATGGAACCTCATTAAACTAAAAAGCTTCTGTACATCAAAGGAGGCAATCAGGGAAGCGAACAGAAAACCCACAGAATGGGAGAAAACCTTCACTAGTGACACATCCAAGAGAGGTTTAATATGCAGAATATATAATGAACTAAAAAACAGAGAATCAAGACAAGAAGTAACCCAATTAAAAGATGGGCTAAGGAGCTGAACAGAGAGTTCTCAAAAGAAGAAGTAAAGATGGCTATGAAACATCTTAAAAGATGTTCAACATCACTAATAATTAGGGAAATGCAAATTAAAACCGCTTTAAGATTTCAACTTACCCCAGTCAGACGGGCTAAGATCAAGAGAACACATGATACCAAATGTTGGAGAGGATGTGGGGAACAGGGAATGCTCATCCACTGCTGGTGGGG